TTAAAGGTTAAAATGGGTATAAGAAAGGAATGGGAAGGGTGAAATTGAAAAAAATTGAAAGAAGATTGCATGAGAAATTAAACCGGTGGTTTTTCTGGTTTCACCGGTTCTATTGGTTTTTACCGATTTACCGGTTTTTGACCGGTTTTTACCGGTTTTACCGGTTTTGACCGGTTTTTACCGGTTTTGACCGGTTTTGACCTAAAATGGTTTTTTATGTGAACCGAACCGTTTTCATGACCGGATACCGGTCCGACCGGTTCAACCGGCCGGTCCGGTCCGGTTTTAAAAACCTTGGGTGGAACTTTTAGCTTTGTGCTAAAAGCCTAACAACCTGTTGCTTTTGGCTAATGTTCTGCTGGATGCAGATTATTATTAAAAAAAAAAAATTGTGTAGTTTAAATTAGAATGGATTCATAATTAAAATTAGTTAATGGAGAATAGATTTTTTAATATTAAAAGCCTATATTTATCTAACAATTTTTATTTTACAATTTAGATATAATGTAAATTATAAAATAAATTCTTTTATTATTATTTTAAAGGATGAGTTATATAAAAAGAAAGAAAATAATATAGAGACAATATTTTTTATAATGATTAATTATTTTTATTTATTTGAAACTCACAATATTAAATATATTTATTCTTTTAATTAGATGTAAAAATTATATTAAAAAAATTATTAAAAAAATTACCCCTATACCACAATCTTAAAGAGAATAAACCTTATCTTTTCTTTCCTAAATTTTTCTCCAGTTGTATTAAAGTTTGAAATTTTAACAATAGCTTCAACTATAAAACCTCAAGTTGTTACTGCAATAAACAATTTTAGATAATAGTAGTTTCTTGAGTTCAAGAAATGTACATCCGTGACTTGGGGGATTGAACTGGAAGAATATTACATTACTATTCCATAAACAAGTTCCCACAAGTTTACATAATTGATATTTTTTTGCGTGTGGGTGTGCACAAATTTCAATTTCATCTAAATCCAATCAAGGTACATAGAAATTTACATTCAAAGATCAACTTTCCTACTGGATCCACCCCAACGATATTTAGAATCATATTCCTTTTCTCCTAGGATTTTGCACAGCTTAATCAATTTTCCCCACCGACACTAGTTCCACCACCAGAATCCAATATTTTGTTGATCTCAAGTAGGGCTCATAACTGATCAACCAGTCTCACACGGATGAGGGATTTTTAGTGTCTGATGGCAGTACCAGCTTCCGCACACAACAACAAGTGGTGGTTGGGAGGTAACCAAGATTACTGAACTAGCAGCTTATCTATTTTTGCAGCATACAAGACTGTTCTCATCATCCCATCGTCAGGTTCAACCTCTGTTGTTCTAACAGTTTATTGCGTTTCCACCATGGCAGTGCATTCTCTATATTTAATTGAGAAGAGTCTTGGGGCAGCGCATAACTAGAGCTGTTCTGGGGTTGAGGAATCTCCCAAGGCTGTTTATAATGAAAATTATTTAATACAATGGAAGACAGGCAAAAGAACTACAAGGTATACCTTCACTGAGAAAACAAAAACATATAGGAAAGATAGAAAATCTTCAAGGTATACCTTCATTCTAGGAGCCAGGCGTGGATTTGGAAGCGGTTGAGCAGGATTTGGTGGTGAATCATTAATGTCCTGTAATAACCAATAAATGTGGCACCGATGTCAATTCTACAAAACTAGAATTTTCATACAGAGATGAAGAGGGAAAGTTAGCTCACCTTGATGCCAGGAGGTTTCTCCCCTCTCTGTATCATAGCCAAAATCTGCAAATCAACTGAGTTTAATAGTTGATTGAAAGTAATAAAAAACTGCAAAAAGACGTGAGATAGCTAAACCAGGGCAAGGGAATGTAATTTAGCAATCATAGGGTATGCATAGTTTGTTTTTTTTTTTTTTTTTTTTTTTTTTTTTGGGACCTTGGTATGCATGGTTATTAATTCCAAATTTAGAGTCATGTATATTTTTGAAAAAAGCCAGAATTTCAACAATTTGTAATTATTTCTTTTCATGAAAACTATTGATTTATTGTTCATGTAATAGTATCACGTACTCTCTGTTAAATCTCAGAATAGAAGCTAACAGGTAAAGAGATTTTCCCTATTACACTTGCTCTTATATCAAGCAGTCTGACAGAGGTATCCACAAAAAAAAAGGAAATCTGAAAGAGTCAATGCTCATGATCATGGAAAAGTACCAACAATAAGTGAAAGCTTTGGAGAATTTAAGGTTTCAATTGAGCTATTTTGAGTCACACCAATAACAGATAACTAAAAACCATGGAAAGAATTACCTCCATATAAGACTTTGGATGCTGACCTCCAGAGGGTTCCATGGAGGCAGGCAACATTGAAGGCTTTGCTGTAAAAGAATTCTCAATCATAACAAAAAAATAAAGAAAATATTTGGACAGAGCCATGACAAAATAAATAAATAAATAAAAGAAAAGAAAAGAAAAGAAAAATAAAAGGGGAATCCTAAGAAGAGCTCTAAATGAAACCTGAGCTGTCATATGCAGACACTGCATTTTGTTTGACTTCCTCTTTCTGAATTTAAGGAGGACAAGAAAAGGCCATGAGAACCAGGAAACTTGAGGCATAGACTAGAAATCATAAGAAAAATTGGCATCTTTAAATTACCATTAAACTCGAATAGGAGCTCTCAGGGTCTTTCCAATCATTAACAGAGGTTCCCAACAATTTGCTATTTGGTCCTGATTAAAGCACATAAACATAAAGAAAGGCATGGAAAAGTTTAGAAGCTTATTAATAGAATTGTAAAGGAAAATAAATCAATTTGGTCAGATATCTCATAGGTCTGAAGTAGAGGTGGCAAAATCACACCCGACCCGTTAATCCAACCCTAACCCAACCTGTAAAAAGTGGGTTATAGTCAAATGGTATTGAACCTGTGACCCATTTGGGTTGACCCAAACAAGTCATGGGTCAAACATGGGTCAACCTACAGGTTCACCGGTTGACCCATTTGTTTTTAAAATTTTAAGAAATATATTTTTATAAAATAAATTTTTAAGGCAAAATATTTAACAAATATAATTTAAAAGAAATCTAATATGATGGTGATCATTACAATTTATAAAACTTTTTAAATGAAGTTGATTATATTCATTTAGAATTTATAAATCAAGTATTGTATACTATATATGATTATTGATAAAGAAAACAAAAAAAAAAAAAGAATTATTCAAAATATTCCACAAAAAATAAGTCATTTTACTTAAACTAATCAAATAGAGAGAAGCAAAATTATTAAAAAATAATCATATCAAAGTTACTATAATTTATTTTAATAAATTAGTATTAAAAATGTGACTAATTATATAAAAGAATAAAAAATTCAACCCACAAGTCAACCCATGACTTATTAGGGTCAGGTTAAGGTCAACACTTATTAACCTGCAACCCATATATTATCCAACCAGTAAAACCTGTGACCCAAGTAAACACAACCCGAACCCGACTCAACCCGCCCATTTGCCACCTCTAGTCGAAAGTCAAGGATGATCATTGATCGATAACATTTGGATTCAAAGAATTGCCAATAAATTGAACATAGTAAATTGAATTACGACAAATTTATTATAAGACATCAAAAAGAAAAAACCCTTGGAGAGGGAAGTTGAACTCTTATTCTAAGCTTTATTTTGGAACCCTTCATAAGATGATTTGTTATTAACTGACATTTAGTTCTATGATGAATTTAGAAATAACAATAATAAACAGTTATCATATTAGAAAGGATAGTTCATTTAAGGGTGCATCAATAAAAATAGACATGGCAGCACGAAAATAATAACCCATTCATTAATTGCTTCTGGAGGATGAAGAAAAGAAAGAAGCAATTTTGGGACAAAAGAAATTACTGAAATTCATCCATCAGGTAATATAAATGAGAAAAAGTTCATAAATAGTCACCACAAGACATGTAGAACCCAAAAACCTAAAATAAATGAATCAATATGAATATGTATAGAACTATGAAGCAAAGCATCATGGGGTTATATATCATTAATCAATATAAAAACCCACCATTTTCTGATCCTAGCTGAGAAGGATGTTCTCGCTGTTTGTATGAGAAAAGAGCAGCCTCCCTTGCTACCTCTAGTTTCCTAAGTGCACTACTCATTGACCTCAGTTCTGTTGCTTGGATGTCCAAATGTCTTATAAAGGCCTCAAAGTATCTAGTGTCTGAAAACAGATCAAACATGCATCTAAGATGAGTAAAGGTATAAAGCACATCAGAATTTACAGTTGTGGGAGAGAGAATGGACTACAAAAGACGCAAAGCTACACTACCAGATTATAGGTGTCTGAATAAACACAACTTACACTTTATTGCAGACTTAATGACTACATAGAATTATAGATTGGTGCACCTTTTCTTGAGTTCAATATCTCAAGACTTGCTCTTGCTGAATTGACGGCTGCAGCTGCGGCTACCTTGGCAGCTTCTGTTGATTCCTTACATAAACTTGCTTTTGAATTTCTTTCTGTGTCATCCTCTACTTCAAAAACAATGTTACGAATCCAACATTTCAACCTGGGTAAAAAAAATTTCTAAAGCATACAATACATTACCAGATGCAGCAATCATATAAATTGCAATTTAACAGAAACAAACATTTCTTGTAATCTATCTCAACATTTTCAACAACCTGGTCGTAAAAAATTTGTTTTAAATACCTTTAGGAGTAAAACAGTCCCAGCACCAGAAGCTCCAAGCATTGCCAGCGCAAACAAAACATGCGACCAGGAATATCTGGATCGTTGAGAAAGTGCAAGCATGGATGCAACTCCAGTAGAAGCGGTTGACAAAGGAACCATCCCTTGTGGCTGCAATTGAACACCTATCCTTGGCAATGCAACAAAATAAATGAAAACATGCATATGGTCAGACTATGACTAATTCCCAATGCTCAGGGTTATAAAAAAACTAAGTCTAACATAACATCGATATAAACGAAACAAGACTCTTATTCTCTTGCTTCAATTCAACCCATCACTTCATGGACACAAGACGGGAGCATCTTAACCATAAAATCCAAACTAAATTATCAAAAGAAAAAGCTCAAAAAATATTCTATTTTTTCACCTTGATTCAAGTTAACACCCTGTCCAGTAGAGGTAACACTTGAAGTTCCATCCTACAGTTTGCACCAAAGAAACAAATGAGAAAACCAATTGAAATGATTAAACGATTGAAAAGCCTTTTGAGCAAAGTACTTACTGGAACGCGGTGAAAGGCTTCATTTATCTCCTCGCTCGTAAGGCCTTTCCTCTCAAGAAAGGAACGTCTGGACTCAATTGGAGAGCCTTTAACACTTGGATGTGATAAAAACATCACAGCCATCTGTACTTGCTCCTCCCGCATTGCTTCCAAGTTCAACAACACAAAATCTTCCAAAATTGCTCCTAGTTCATCTCCTTCCGAAATTCAGCCATCATGATCCATGCTTTAACGATCCTAACCAGAATTCAACAAAGAACAATTCCAGAATAAATTCTTCACTTCAGATCAACTTATCCTACCGTAAATTACGGATCAAAATCTCTGAATTCAAGTTCAATCCTCCGAAAACCCTACTAAAAATTTGGAAATAAATAGAAACAAAACTATTCCAGGGAAAATCGCACCTCCGTTTTGCGATCTATCGTCTCTTTGTATTACTCCTCCGATGCGTGCGTGTTGTAGTCGGAAAGAAGAGAGCGATCGATTGGAAGTCGGAAAAGCAGCGACTCCGCCTGTAGCTAGATTTCGGAGAAGGAAGAGAGAAGATGGAGAAAAGTGAGGAATATTCGCCGAAGTAAGTCTTGGGCCGTTACGTATATCGAGGCGGCCCTATTAGTTCCAACTATTTAAATTAGGGCGGCAATGCAAATTGGGGGAAACCGCGCTGGCTTAGCCTTGATGAGAGCTAAATTCGGGCTTAGATTTTGATTAGTTTAATACAACCTAATACTCTAAAAGGCCCAACTATCATTTCTGTTCCTTTTTTTTTTTTTTTTTCCCAGAAAAAATAGTGATTTTTTTTTGGGAGGAATTTTTCTCGATAAGGTACAGGAAAATGGATGTAAGGATATTTTAATTGTAAAAAATAAAAAGAAAAAGCGTGATATGAGTTGTTAAAAGAAAAACTTAAGAAAAAAAATTGACACGTGTTATGT